ATAGGTTCAGTGGGTGTGAGCACTATCTGAACAAGCAGGAGAATCTGAGTTCAGATGCCAGCACCAGCATAAAGATGCTGAGTGCGGTGGATGCACCTGCATCCTAGTGTAGACACAGGAAAACTGCTGATGCTTGCTGTTAGCAGCCTCAACCAAACAGTCTGTTCCAGGTTCAGGGAGAGACCCCATCTCAAAGGACTAAGATAGAAAACAGTAGAGGACCCTGACATCTTTCTCTGTACTCATACAGGCACGAGACACATACTCTGACATACATGTGTACACAAAGCACCACACATTTAAAGAGATAGTCACACCTGGTCTAGTTATGTTCTTTATTCTGATAAAAAACACTTTCCCAAAGCGCTTGGCCAGGAGAGGGTTGATTTGGCTCACATGTCCCACCTACACTCCATCACTGATGGAAGTCAGGGCAGGCTGGTGCTCTAGCAGGAGCAAAGGCAGGAACCTCAGAGGAAAGCTGCCTGCTGGTTCAGCTTGCTTTCTTACCCAACCCAGGACCTCATGCTCATGGATTCACTACCCACCGTGGGCTAGTCCCAGTTCCATCCATTAGCAACCAAAAAGAACCCCCCCCCCAAACATGCTCACAGTCAATCTAATGGACACAATCCTCAATTGAGGGCTCCTCTTCCGGTGTTTTTAGTTTATGTCTAGTTGACCGAAAGTACCCAGCACAGCTGGTTAGATAGGTTCTGTGGTAAAAAGCTAGATATGTGGTTATGTGGTTATATTTAAATAATAATTCAAAACAAACCATTCGGACCATTTTGTGTTAGTGACTCCATTGAGAGGTGAACAAATAGTAATCCAATTCTGATATGCCTTAAGGAGTGAGGGATATTTATTAATAAACTCATTGGGTTTCACCAGACTACAACCAAGAGAACAGACAAACTGAGAAAAAAATTCTACCAAAGAACTTTGGAGACCAGAAGTACTCATGTTAAATCTTATTCTTTGGGAATGATGTCAGTGCTGATGCTAAGAACAGCCCAACCTGACATTTTGGTTCCAAGTAATAAGGGAGCTAAAGTCATTGAAGAAATAATGCCATTAAAAATACACTAATAAATATTTTTTTATATGGGGCAGTGGAAAATATATCGAAGTTGTTTTCTTTGCCCATAATCAACCTAACTAGTACAGCTGCTGCTGATGCCCAGCGATGGTGGTTTAAAGAGACAGACCCATCCTGACAGTGGTGGAGAAAACTTTAATCCCAGCACTGGGGAGCAGACGAGCTGGGTCTCTGAGGTAAAGCACAACCTGGTCTACAGAGAAAGTTCCACAACAGCCAGGGACACACAGTGAAACCCTGTCTCAAAAATATGTAAATGAATGAGCAAATAAAATAAATTAAATATGTAAATTAAAAGAAATTAAGAGAACTTGTAAAGCAACAGAAGACAGTGCAATTACCACATGATACTCATGATTAATGATGTGTCCTTGCAGATGTCATCAAGAAAATTTATGAATAAAGAAGGTCTCAGTGGGAATTGTGCGGGATGAGAGGGGATGAATTTGAGCAAAAATGACTAAAAACATTGGATACATATATAAAATTGTTAAAGAAGACAAGCTAAGTTCTAAAAGGAAATTTAATGCTAAATCATTATAAACTGGGTAATCTCTCCAGTACTGAGTTTCATAAGGGACAAGGGATTAAATCATAACCAATGCCAGGAATTCATGAAAAGTATTCATGGTAACTCTGATGAAATCATTTACATTTTAGAAGTAAGGTGGCCATTCTCTGGACATTACCAAAATACTATTAGGTCACTTACAATGTTGCAAGCAGTATTTATGCCAGAATTTGGAAATGAAAACTCAATTACAGATTGACCTTTTAGTGGATTTGACTATTTGCTTCAACTTTAATGGAAAAAACAACCTCTCAATACCATGTTTTATACCCTAAGTGCTCCAGGAGAAGTGGAATTATGGTAAGCTCAATTTAAGACAAATAATTGCATTTCAATGCAGCTCAATACTGGTTTGTAAACAGTGACCTTGCTATTACATTTGATCGGAAATCTGAAAACAGATATCAAGATTTCCAGAAATAATATCACTACTTGGTATAATCACAAGGTCATTTTTATCAATATATAAATATTATCTGCCAAAGTTCCCTGCTGAGTTTCAATTAAAAATGCCTATATCTGCAGTCCTGCCTTCAACCTAAAAATATCTTCTCTCATGTTCGTTCTCGACATTTATGGGTCTCTTACAGGACCTTCTCGACATTCATGGGTCTCTTACAGGACCTTTTCTGAAACAAGAGCTCACCCTCAGAGTCACACTGGATTCACGCCGTCAGCTTTTGATAGCACCTACACTTGTGAGTCACAGGTCTCAGGAACTGAGCATGCTGGCCTGGAGAAGTGGCTCAGACATATTAATGGTAGAGACTGCTCTTGCAGAGGACCCTAGTTCAGTTCTGAGCACCCATGCTGAATGACTCATAACACTGTAACCTCAGCTCCTCTGGGCTCAAAGGGCGTGTGTGCTCACATGCACATGCCCCCATCTGGAACACAGACACATACACATAATCCATAGATAAATCCTTGATGTAGATATACTCTAGACACGAGGAGGCCACTACACCTGTGAAATTTAAGCAATATGACTGCTTAAATAGGATCTGAACAATGACAACACCAGTACACCTTCAAAGCGGTTGGGGAAATACCAGGGGACCCCATCCGAAGATGAAGAGCAACAAACTATAAAGTACAGAGAGGGAGAAAAAGTCTTCCCCTAAGATGAGCCCCCCACCCAATGGTTATACAATCCTAAGTTGTCAGACCTAAAATAAATTAGAATTCAAGCAATAATAATCTGACTCTGTAAACTGGATTTATATTTTCATCACTGTGAATGTTGAGAGAAAGAGAGAGAATGGTAATTAAAGAATAAGAGGCCTTGAATCTGAAGGGGATGGAGCAACCTGTTAGGAGTTAGAAGGATAATGGCTGATGGCATGCTTATGTTTTAATTTTTCAATAATTCCAAATGATAACAGTAAAATTAGAACCAAAATATCTCACCCCATCTCAGGAATTCACTGAGATTGGAGCTCTGTCCATCAAGCCAGTTGTGTTTAACAAGTCCATTTGTTTTTCCAAAGCAATGTCAAATGGCCCACAAAGTTTGTGTTGCCCTCATTCACTATTTTTGTTTGTTTGCTCTTTCTTTTGTTATTTTTTTCTATCCTGAAACAGGGTTTCTATGTGTGTCCCTGTGCATGCTGGAACTCACTATGTGGAGCAGGTTGGCCTTGAACTCACAGAGATGTGTCTGCCTCTTCTGCCGAGTGCTGGCTTTAAAGGGTCTGCCAACACTGCTCTCCTTTTTCTAGGATGAACTCACACTAAAATAAATACTACTACTTAGCTGTGTTCACTTTAGTTATTCGATATCACTAAATTGGAGCCCGTTCCATGGTTAAAATAATTCCCTTAACTGGATACCATATAATTAAGATTATTGTGTTCTGTAAGGATTTTATTGCATACCTGTATGTGCAGATAATGTATCGTTTATACATGGTTTCTCTTCAGTGACAACTTAGCAATTTTTGTTATAACATACACAGACACACATGTATATATAAAATATAGTATGGTAATTTGTATCCCCAAACAGCTGTCTTTTATTGTGGCCCAAAATGACACAGAGTGTCAAACCCTGGACTGGATGATTAATTTAGATCCAATTAATATCTGGACTGCAGCTAACAGCTGGGATAAAAAAGCCTCTATGGATACAAATATGAAAAAGGAAATTCAAAAATCTCTGAAAAACATAAAGTTGTGGAGATAAACAAGACCCCTGGTGCTCTGGGCTTGTTCTGGATGCGCATGCTTAGACACACACACACACACACACACACATAGACTGGCAGACAGACAGACACACATGCATTCATGCACACACGCACATGCGCATATGAACACAACACACACACATATACACCCCTCTGTTCTTAGGAAAAGGCCAGCCTGTCTCAACTCCTAGAGCTGATCTCACACAGCTCTCCTCATCACATGCCCTAGGCTCAGATCCTCAGCTCACTCCAGTCATTATCAGCCTCTTCAAGAGCTGGATCCCTGTCTCTCTCACTCCTGGATCTAGTCCACTAAACAACCACTCAAGACTAATCAAGGTTCTTGTTTATCTATTAAATATCCAAAGCAACACTGTAGGAAATCCGCTGAAGTCCTCAGCAGAGAAGTCAATGCTGATCTAATCCTACTGAGCTCTTGAGAGATGAACGCCAATACAAAGTAAACAGGTAACCAATACATGCTTTTGTGATTTGTTTGTATACTTAATTATACAAGACAGTAGACACGATCATTGCCCACTAGGTTTCACTTGCTTTAGGATTTCTTTGTGACACCCTAGCAGTTTGGGAGAGTCAGAGTGAGTGAAGATTAATTCATCAGACTGTTCCAACAGATGTTCCTCAGTATGATGAGAAGTCTCAGAGCTTAATGAGAAGATGTACTGAAACTCTGCCTCGCCAAATATGATGCAGTATCAGCTTTAATAAGTACTGTATAACTTTTTCTGTGTATAAATAATACTATAGCAGTTTTGTGGTAAATTGGGTGTCAGCATTATTTTTTTTTAAAGAAAAGGGAGAAAGAAAAAGCCAAAGAAATTAAAAAAAGATCTACCACAATGGAAAAAAATGTAAGAGGTAAGAAAAGCCACAGTTTTATCTCAGACAGAGTAGACTTCCTGGGGTCTCAGGCCCTCCTCAACCACAACCTTAACACCCTCTTTTCCTGGTCTTTATCCAGGATTAGCTCAGAGGATGTCAATGTGGTGATCGTGTCATTTTTACCCAAACCAGAAAACTGCCTTAGCTACTAAAGCCAATCAGAGCAGAGGTGCACAGGTTTAAAAGGCCTGTGAGGTCACTGAGAGCTCACCTCCTTCATCCTTCAAGGGCTGTGTCCACTCTGACCTCCAGCCTGAGCAGCCTCCTAAGAAGATGGCAGCAGCCCTGATTCTCCTGACCTTTCTTCTGCCGCTTGGACCTGGTGCAGGTGAGTGAACACCTCTGTTTCAGAGGTGCCATCCCATAATACCTCTGTGGAGTCTCTGTCCAGCTCTAGTCAGGAACTTCCTGCACTGAACCAGGAGATTCCTCAATCTCAGGTTCCAGACCAACCCAGACCTGAAGCCTGTCACTGGCTAGATCCTCAACAAGGTCTGAAGAAGTCGGTGTCCTCAGAAGACATGGTGGGCACTAGCTTCTCCCTGATCTTTGTGTCACCTGGGGAGTGGATCATCCCCAAAGAGAGAAGTAGCAGAGAACGTAAGCTTACTAAACAATACATCATTGACCTCACCTGAACCCAGACCAAGGGCAGGTTTAACCATCAGCCAGCAATGATGTAAGGCAACCAGCTGATGAATATTATCATTAGTTATTAATCTCCACCCTCAGGCTGCTAAATCTACAGGTCCAGGTTGACAATATGCCTGTTCATTGCTCTATTTTCAGTTTTGTCTTGGTTGGCCAGTCCATTTCTTTCTGCAGTCACCAGTCACCAACTATTCTCTTTATGCCAGTGGAATCCTCCAGTATCCCCTAGGCTATGATTCCAATGAGCTCTGATCCACCATCCCTCCAGCTAAGTAAAAATCATTCTTCCATGTAGCTAATTCTTTTATTGAGAACCTAGGATATGATAGGCACCAGAACAGGAGAACTTTAGAAAATCCCTCTCCAAAGAGCATGGAATAAAAGGCGACAAATTGGCAGAAATCAAGACAGGAGAGGCGTCAGGAGACCCATTTACCGAGAAAGACTAATATGAGCCACCCAGCATTCCCTTGGTCTCTAGCATCATGAAGAAAGAAGTTTGTCCCTCCATGTATTTGTAAAGCAGGGGCTGGAGGACAAGTCCCACCCACCCCTACTCAGAACAGGGCACTGAGGTGTCAGACGCAGCAAAGATCATTCCATGTACAAGGAATTCGGTCCACAGCAGTCTTGGGGAACTGTAGATCTCACTGTTCACCTCTTTCTCTCTCATCTGCTGCTCCCAGACACCTCATATTCTGCCTTTTCTTTCAGAGGAGATCATCGGGGGCCATGAGGTCAAGCCCCACTCCTGCCCCTACATGGCATATATCACATCTTTTCATGATGATGGGAAAAGACATTGCTGTGGAGGCTTCCTGGTAAAAGACAACTTTGTGCTGACAGCTGCTCACTGCATGGGAAGGTGAGGAGAAGCAGCTAGGCCATGCTTTCTGAGACCCCAACAGGAGTTTCCATCCTCTACTTGTGTCTGCTCCTCTGAGAGCTCACTACAGGGCAGGGCTGTGACAATGGAAGGATGACAACAGGGAAACTTTGAGGTCAAACTGTGAGAGCCCAGAGGCAGCAGCACTGTTGAGTTGAAAGCAAATACACTGGTCAGACTACAGCAGTGTCCGAGGTTGAAAGTACATATTAAGAGTCAATGCAAATGTGTAATGTTTTCTAAAAACCAGAGGAAGTCTTCTGGAACCACTATCCTCACAAACAAAAGAGCAGTGGTTCACACCCTGAGCCCCTTCTGTCTCCTCAGTCCCCTCAGCTAGAGCCACACCCTGCCCACCCAGCCTCTTACAGATCCTGCACTGTGTCCTCTCTCACTCCACATCTCCCATCTGCACTCTGCAGCTCAATGAACGTCACTCTAGGAGCCCACGCCATCAGGATCCAGGAGGAGACCCGGCAGTTCATCCCTGTGGCAGAAGTCATCCCACACCCAGCCTATAATTCTCAGGATAGCTCCAATGACATCATGCTCCTAAAGGTGAGACTTGCCACCCCATCCACACACCTCTTCCCATCCCCTACTCAACCACCACTCCTGGTGCCTGTGTTCTGTTTGTTGCAGGGCTTGCCCCTCCCATTTTGCTCTCATCTTGTTCCCTCCCTCCCTCCTACTCATTCTTTCAAAGGGTCCCAGGCCAGCAGGCTCCTGGCTGAGCTCTTCTCTCCTGCTTCTTCTCCCACAGCTGGAAAGGAAGGCCAAGAGGACTAACGCTGTGAGGCCCCTCCCCCTGCCCAGGGCCAATGCCCAGGTGAGGGCTGGGAAAGTATGCTACCTGATTGGCTGGGGGAGAAAGTCCTTTCATGACACCAAAGAAACTAAAATCCTACAAGAGGCTGTATTGATCATCCAGGATGACCAGAAATGTAAAAAACTCTTCCACCGCTATTCCAAAACCATGCAGATTTGTGCTGGAGACCCGAAGAAAGTAGAGGCTGCTTTCAAGGTTTGTTCAAGCATTTGGCAGACAAAATGCAGGGAGAGAGGAACCTGGGAGAGGGCTATTTATGATAATGGCCAAACCTTCAAGAGTCAGCTTATAGAAGGGACATCCCAAAAGCAGGTTTGAGTCCCTCTGTGGGTTAGCAAGAGAGAAAGATGGGGAAACATTGGCCCTCCCAAAGCAGCATAAATTGTTTCTGAGTGTTCCTAAGGACTTCGGGGGAAACCTTGGATTGAGCTAGAAGGAAGAGTGTGCCCTCCTTGGAGCTGTGGTACTGAGGGAGTTTAAAAACCTGTTCTGGCCCTGACCTAACAGCTAACCTTCCCAGGAGGAGGTAGGGAGGGCAGAGTCAGGGGAAGGAGGCTCAGTTCTTCCTTGGCCTGTCCAACAGGGCGACTCTGGGGGACCCCTCGTGTGTAACAACAGAGCTTATGGAGTTTTATCCTATGGAAAGAACCAGACCATCTCTTCAGGAATCTTCACTAAGGTTGTGTCCTTCCTGCCATGGATCAAAAGAAGCATGAAGCCTCTCTAACAGGTGGTTGAAGCCAGCTGTGCCTGACTAGCTTGTCCGGATACAGGCGAGACCCACATGGAGTGGGTAGCAAAGGCTGAAAACTCATAATAAATTGATCTGCACATTGAATACAACTGAAGTCCTGTACTATCTGAGTCACCCGTGTGCACTTCAATGGTCCTCGTTGCAGTCTCATGTCAGTTCTGAGCTTTTCTTCCTCCTTCTTCCCCAGCCCCTCCCCTAACTGGAACTTCAGGCTAGATAATTCCCACATATTTATCACTCACACATACATGGTGGTGGTTAGGGGGTTGTTGGTTTGTTTTTAATTTTTGACATAGGAACTCTAGGCTGGCCTGGAGTTTGTTTTGTAGATAAGCCTGACCTTAAACTCACCAAGGTCTACCTGCCTCTGCTTCCCCAGGGCTGGGATTAAAGATTTGTGCCATGACATCCAACCTTACACCTATTTTACTACCCAGCTGTCCAAGGTTGACTTTCTTACATCACAAACATGAGTCTATAGCACCACTGAGGTGTCGTATACTCAGTCATTTCTCTTCACCCTTAGTCTCCAGAGGCCTAGAAAATCCCTAACATCTCTTGGTCACCTTCATTAAGCCCCAACATTTGCTAGTGAATCAACAAAGCACTGGGGTGAAGGGACATTTGACTCTGGGAATTCTGAAGGCCAGGGGTCATGCTACTGGATAAATTTCCTGTTCCAAGACCTCCCACCTCTGGGGGGAACCTCAGTTCTATGCTTTTATTTTTTGCTTTAGATTTGTTTGTTGAGAGAGAAAGAGAGAGAGAGAGAGAGAGAGAGAGAGAGAGAGAGAGAGAAGTTTAGTGGGTAGGGAAAGAATATGAAAATATGAAAAAGGGGAAAATATGGTTGGAAAAATTAAAGGAATTAGCAATGATACAATAAACTTTTATAATTAAAATATAAATGTATTTATTGTTAAGAATAATAACAGGAAGCATATGAAAACTGCTCTTCCTCCTTTCTTCCACCAAGCCCTGGAAATGAAATTTTGACCCTTGAGATATGGACAATGGTAAAAGGGTATTGGGAGGAAGCTGCTGGGAGCTTCCTGCTCCTGTGTGGAGATGAACTAGTTTCCAGCCTAGTCTAGTCTCTGCCTAGAATCTTATGGAACAAAGACCACAAACATGGTGTCTATGAATGAAGCTGCTGCTGCTGTTAATCCTCCTGCTCTTCCTTCTCCTCCTCCCTTCCTCCTCCTCCCCTCCTTGTCCTCCTCCTCGTCCTCCTCCTCGTCCTCCTCCTCCTCCTCCTCTCTTCTTCTTCTTCTTCTTCTTCTTCTTCTTCTTCTTCTTCTTCTTCTTCTTCTTCATACAGCAGTTATCCTATGCTTAACAGTAAAGACAGTACACTATTCTAGGGTTTTAAGGCCAGTTACTGCTCTATTTGCAATCTGTATGTATGTGTTTGACATTGTCACACTTTTTTCTGCAAATATTGACTTCTGTTTCTTGTCTTCAGTCCAAATTAATATTTAAATCTTATTTCTCATTATAACATAGATAAATGTATTGTTGGATGTTTTCTAATGACTTTTGGAACTTTACTGCTATATTAGCTTAGTATGTTAGCTTATACAGGAGATGACCTTTAGCTTCTCTCTCCCTCTCTCCCTCCTTCCCTCCCTCTCTCTCATTTTCTCTTTGTTTCTCTTTCTTTCTTCCTTCTATTGATAATAGATTTTCCTTCCCATAATATAACTTGATTATAGTTTCACTTTTTTCTATTTCTTCTCCCCCTTTCACTCCTGTATAGATCCATTCCCTTTCTGTCTCTTGTTATAACATAAACAGGCATCTAAGGGATTATATAAGATAAATAAAAAATAATGCATCAGAATTGAACAATACAAATGGAGAGAACAGAGTCCAAGGGAAGGTACAAGAATCAGAGACCCACTCATTGGAACACTCAGGAATCTGCTGCAGGAGGATGTGATGATGACTGAGCAAGGCATTGATATATGAGCATAACAGAATGTCATTAGGATTCATTTTATTGCTACCTTTTACTTTTGTGTTTGTTTGTTTGTTGAGAACAGTAGTATTTGGCTTTACCCTAGGTCCCTGAGCTATCTAGTCTCAGGTTCTAGGCCATCCAAGTAGTGTCAGGTGTGGTTTCCAACTCGGGAAGTGAGCCTTAAGTCAAATCAGATTATTTGTTGATTATTCCGACAAGCTTCGTGCCACCATAGAGACAGGAGAAACAGCATTGTAGATAAAGGTTTTGTGGTTGGGTTGGTGTTTATGTTTGATAGCATGCAGAGTAACTTACTGTACTAAAGACTCTAGAATTTAGGGGTGAAGGCTCTATGTCTGCACCAGCTTGACCTCTTCATACTCAGTGAGTTGAGTAGGGGCCTTGCTGTCAGTTTGTGGAGAGCCATCTATAGTCATGGCAACAGCCTGGGTTGCTTGGGGATTCCCATGGGAACCCTTTAGCCAACAACTCAGTTAGATACAACCCAGCCCTGGTACTGGAAACTTCATTTAATGACAAGAGATGTCCAGTTAGGGATCTGTCTCCCCATCCGAGGAAACTGCCTGACTCCATTTTGAAGGCAGGAGCCATTATGCTGTATTGTTTAAAATGTTTCCATTTACTGTAAGAGCTGAGTTACTGTTTTTAAGGCTGTTTCCTGGAGCCTGACCTGTCCCAGTCCATGACCTTGACTTGTTTTTGAGAACACCTTAACCCTCTCTGATCTTCGATAATCAGAAGGTGACCACATTGTGTTTTTTGATTTTTTTTTTTGAGAATTTTGAGAGTTTTCTGTACTTCTTAATTGCTGTTTTGTATCTCTTCTGGAATCCTGCTTTGCAACTACTCATGATTTTACTCCTTAAAAGGGGCCCAAGAAATGGACTGTTCTCTTTAACCTGATTTAGGAGACACTTACTAGCCAGTTCTTGGGTACACCCCAACAAAAATCAAGCTTGCTTCAAATTTAACTCAAAATTGTGGTAGTGGTCTTATTCTTGCCTGGTAGGATTAACACTATTTGGTGATTTCATTTAGATCAATTTCATATATGTATATATTTTAGGAATCTTCTATTGTATTAGGTTTCCACACTACCCCTCAAATGGTCCTTAATTTTAACTGCCTCTCCCCATATTTCCTCCCTGGTCCTACTCCCTCTCCCCACTACTCTTTTTCCAGCCCCCTCATTCATCCATAACTATCTATTCTCTTTTCTCTTTCTAACAATATCTATCTGTATCCCACCCCATCCCTTACTCTATACCCAACCTCTGTGTTTATACAATAGTAACTTAGCTATCATTGACTTAAGAGCTAATATACACATGTAAGTTAGCACATACCATGTTTACCTTTCTGTGTCTGTGTTACCTCACTCAGGATGATTTTTTTCTAGTTCCACCCATTTACCTGAGACTTTTATTATTTTTAACATCTCAGTAATACTCCCTTATGCAAATGTACCAATTTTCTTTATTCTTTCTTCTGTTGAAGGATATCAATGTTGTTTCCAGTTTCTGGACATCATGAATAAAGCAGCAACAAACATGGCTGAGTCAGTATCACTGTGGTAGGGTGGAGCATTCTTTGAGTATATGCTCAAGAATGATATAGCTGGATCTTGAGGGTAATCAATTCCCACCTTCCTGAGGAACCACCACACTGATGCCCATAGTGGCTGTAAAAGTTTGCACTCCCACAAGCAATGGACAAGTGTTTCCCTAAATCCACATCCTCAATAACACGAGGGGTTATAAGCCTGCTTAAACTGATTGTCTGATGTTGATTTAGCTTTAGTAAGTGATATGTATCTAAAAAAAATTTTATTTCTTTAAATTTCCAATGTTGTGGAGTACAGGTTTGTGAAGTGTAACCTAATGATTTCCTTAGTGTCATTATGTCTCCTTTTCATTTTTAATTTTATTAATTTACATATTCTTTCTCTACATTTTAATTCAGTTGGATAAGGGTTTGTTGCTCTTATTGATTTTCTTAATGAACCAAACTTTTTTTCATTGATTTTTTTGTTGTTTCTATTCTATTAATTTTAGTCTCCAGTTTGGTTATTTCTTGTCATTTACTCCTTTGGGTATGACTGCTTCTTTTTGTTCTAGAGATTTCAGTAATACTATAAAGTTACTGAAATCTCTCCACGTATTATATCTCCATTTTCTTTTAAATATAGGTACTTAGTGCTATGAGTTTGTCTTTTACAACTGCCATCATTGTGTCCCATAAGTTTGGTTATGCTGTGTATTCATTGTCATCCAATTCTATGAAGTCTGAATTTCTTTTTTTTTCTTTTTTTATTGGGAAAAGAAGAAAAAAAAACATAAACAAAAAAAACAAGTTTCCACCTCCTCCCAGCCTCCCATTTCCCTTCCCCTTCTCCCACCCTTCTCCCCCTCCTTCCACCCTTCTCCCCCTCCTCCCACCCTTCTCCCCCTCCCCCCACTCCTCCCCCCCTCCCTCTCCAGTAAACAGAGCAGTCCGGGTTCCCTGCCCTGTGTTAAGTCCAAGGTCCTCCCTCCTCCCCCCTCGTCCATCCAGGTCTAGGAAGGTGAGCATCCAAACTGGCTAGGCTCCCACAAAGCCAGCACATTAAGTAGGATCAAAACCCCCTGCCATTGTCCTTGGTGTCTGATCAGCCCTCATTGTTCGCCATGTTCAGAGAGTCCGGTTTTATCCCATGCTTTTTCGGTCACAGTCCAGCTGGCCTTGGTGAGCTCCCCGTAGATCAGCTCCACTGTCTCAGTGGGTGGATGCGTGCCTCGTGGTCCCGAATTCTTTGCTCATGTTCTCCATCCTTCTGCTCCTCCTTGGGACCTTGGGAGCTCAGTCCAGTGCTCCCGTGTGGGTCTCTGTCTCTAACTCTATCCATCACCAGATGAAGATTCTATGATGATATGCAAGATATTCGTCAGTATTGCTCTAGGATAGGGTCATTTCAGGTTCCCAATCCTCAGCTGCCCAAGGAACTAACTGG